AAAAAGTCACCTGTTAAAAGCTCATCAGTTGACAATCCTGCAATGAAAGATTCTGAATCTCATTCTAACACAGTACTAGACTTACCTTGTGGCAAACAGAAACATCCTGGAGAGCAACCCTCTGGCCAATCAGCTGTCATATTCAGAGTGGAACAAAGAGCCATTTCACCCCACTACTGCCCTTTCTGCTCCTTCCAGGGTGGTAAAGGCTTCCCAACAATTCTGTGTACCTCCAGTTAGACAGCCTGAACCTCCCTGAACTTGACGAGCTTAGTGCAAATGGGACGGACTCAACCCCAGTCACCTCTGCAAATTGGCCAATTAAAATTCAATTCCTGTTCTATTAGAAGAAAGATGAGAAGGTGACCCTTAATAACTTTTCCCGAGAAGAAACAGCTTCTTGGACACAGGTTAGAAATGCCAGAATTCTATGCTGTGGGCAGGAGAGAAGCAAGGAAAATCATCTGCTGATAAAATGCATCCAATTGAAATCAAGAAGTTTCCTTAAACGATCTTCTCTGCTAAACCCATGCCCTCCTCCACATGCAAAAATGCCACTGTATGCAAAAGTGTGGACTAACTGCTTTAAGCTTCCCACAGTTTGGGAGGCTCCTGAAGTGGCTGTTCTATAATGACATCTCACCGAGGCTTTCTAAGGCACACCGTCCTGAGAACACCAAGTCAGCAGCACGGGGACAGAACAGGGTAGTGCAAAGCACCAGCAGAACCAACTTTGCTGCTCAACTGAGAATGAATCAGGAGTCAAACCCTGTGAGCTTCTATTGTCCATTCAGCTTGATTTACTTGACGGAGCACAAATCACCATTTATGGGCAAATCCTTAATCATTAGGTGAGACAGGCATTATAATGATGGTGGTGACAGGTGGTGGAAGGTGAGGAAGGAATGAAAAGTTTATGGAGGCAAGCACCAGCCTGGAAATCTACCAAGATTCTAGTTTCAAGCTAGAACACTGTGTCTCCACCAACTCACTGAACTGCCCTTACCTGAGGCTTGACAGATTTTAGATAGAAGCTTCTGCCAAGATAAGCTAGATCATAAGAATTCCTAATGGTGAGTTAGAAAAGAGAAATCAGGGATCTAAGCAGAAAAGGAAGGATGGGATTGGATCTGTGAGAATATTAAGCCCTAGGCCACAAAAAGCTTCTCTCACTCTCTTTAATCTGATTGTTTGGCTGGTCCCTGTACATACCTTGGGGGGAGAGAGAGCTTCTCCCTTTTGTTCTTTCCTTTTTCTTATAAATAAGTGAGAAAATCCTTTCTGGCTATTTTCTCCATGAGGAAGGATCTATATATACCTGTGACCCATTGGACTTGGAATTGGTTCATGAGGTGACCCCTGCACTTTCCAATTCCAAAATCACCATCTATGCCTCTGTGATCCATCACAAATTAGACTTGCTCAATGCCCACCACTAACCTCCCACCTCAACACTTGTATGACCCTAGGAAGATAAGCACATCACAGTCTGCTTTTTCTATGTGTAAGAACAAGATGCCAGCATCTCACCCACTTCCATACTTTAAAATGGTATTTAGACCACAGCCAGCTTGAAAGAGCTCCCAATGGTCAAAGCTGGAACAATTTGAGAGACAAAATAAATAACAGTAGTATTGGATTATAACCCACAGAATAAAATAAATATGAAGGAGTCCTTACCGATACAAATCAATAGTTAAATAAATACATAAATAAGTGGGGTAGAAAGGACAGCTCTTCTTTACAGAAAAATTCTAATTAATAAATGTAGAAGGAATGAAAGAAATACAGAATTGTCATTAGAACATTACACTGATAGTTGTCACAGGCAATATGGACAAATAGATGGTAAAAAATCAGTAGAGAAAGCTAGAGGAGAAACAGGATATTTGCATAGCTTCAAAGTTATCTCCCCCAAGGTATTTATTAATAACTAAGGGACAAATAGTACCTTTACAGTGGAGAAACCTGGCAGACAACACCGTAACCAAGTAATCAAAGTTACCACCAGCAGTAATAAAACATCAACATCATATAACCCCTAATATGATACACTAAGGACACATCACTTCTGTGGTATTCCTACCAAAAATGTGTAATGTCAATCTAACCATGAGAAAGCATCAGACATCCCCAAACAGAAGGCATTCTTCAAAATAACTGGCCAGTGCTCTTTGAAAGTGCCAAGGCCACAATAGCCAAGGGAAGAGTGAGGAAATATCACAGGTTAGAGGAGACTAAGGAAACATGACAACTAAACACAATGTACAATCCAGAACAGAAAAAGAACATTAGTGGGGAAAAATGATGAAATTTGAATAAAGTCTATAGTTTATAAAGTCTTAAAATCTCTAGTATTACCAATTACTAATGCTAATTTCCTGGTTTTGATATTTGTTCTATAGTCATAAAAGATACTAACTTTAGGGAAAGCTAGAAGACAAGTGTACAGGAAATCTCTGTACTATTTTTACAACTTTTCTATGAGTCTAAAATGAATTCAAAACAGAAAAAACAAAGAGGATTTAGGATGTGAGTGGAATTGGATGAGAATCCAGTTTCCTAGTTCAGTCCCACATCAGTAACACTTGAGTTGCAGAGTGAGTCATGAGATGGACTATTTTAAAGGCCAACGATATACTTTTTAAAAAGGAAATTGCCTGCCCACTTGCTCCCTTCTGTTCTCCCTTCATACAGACCTAATGTTGTTGGCCAGTTTTGACCACACTGATGGGGACAACTGCAGCTTGTTTTTTTTTTTTTTTGTCTTTTTTTTTCCGTGTCCGGCAACGGATCGCAACCCTCAGTGTCGCCCCCGTACCGGACCGGGACCGGCAACGGGATCGCAACCCTCGGCGTTGCTCCCGCGCCGCTGAGCGGGAACCAGTCTGTATGTGGGATCTGAACCCTTGGGCGGGAGCGCCGCCGCGCTTCCCAAGCGGCGCACTATCCATTGCGCCACCGGGCCGGCCCCTGCAGCTTGTTTTAAAGACCATATCTTTGTGGTTAGGATACCAAACAGATACAGAGCTAGGTTCATTTGTTTCATTCAACTTTTAGAGATTGTTTTATAAAATACTGTAACTGATGCAAGCTCAGACCCAGGCCTGTATGAGTCCAGTGCTCATGTCAGTCAGTCCCCAGTCAGTCGCTGTTCCTCCTGCCTTTTCCAACCTGGCTAATGGCCCTGCAAAGATCCCCAAGTGCCCCATGGCAGAAACTTAGCAGTCACTCTAATGTTTTTTTCTCCCTTCCCCCCACTGTAGTCTGCTATTGATTCTGCCTCCTAAGTTCATCTCACATCTGCCTCATCTCTTGTCCCATCAACCACTGATTTAGTTCAGGTCTCGATCATTTTCCTCCCAGGCTAGAGCAGTAAGTTCCTAACTACGACCTTCTGACCTTGAGTACTTTGGCACTGACACTAGAGTAACTTATACAGCCCAGTGGACTCGTGTTAAAGAGAAGGCCCTGATTCTCTACATTTTGAAGATCCTAGGATGCTAAAGGGAATAGTGACAACCTTGGAGCTTCCGCCTCTTCAGGCTGTCCCTGGGAGCAACCTTGCCAGCTGGTTCTCTGGGAAAATCTCACCCTGTTCCTAGCTTGACCTTTGGCTACCAGACAGTTGGCATCTCTAGACCTTTGATATGCTCAAACTTTCTTTGAATCTTTTCTTCAAATATAATCTAACAAAGATCCTTAATGTAAACAGTAGATACAAGTGTTATTTTATTATATAAAATATAACAAATTTTCATGTCTATTTGCATGCCCACATACAGATAATCAAAATATGAAAATTTGGATTTGCATAAATTCAAATGTATAATGTTTGCTTATTTATAATGTAAGTCAACATGTCTATATGAAAGAACCCCACAAACTGATCAGGGTAATTGATGACAATGATAAGCAACATCTGTTTGAGTATTATGACATGCTGGGCATGGTCCTAAACGCTTTAAAGGTATTAGCTCTTTCAACCCTTTCAGCAACCCTAGGAGGTAGATCAGTTATTAAACTTTTACACATTGGAAATGGAGAGACCTTAAATGATGTGCCTGTGGTTACACAGTGAATGGCAGACTCGAGGTTTGAATTTCAGGTAGTCTGTCCAGACCCCATCTTACTCCCTGTATTATACTGCCTTCATGCTGGCACACAGATTTCTGTGATAATGACGAAGACGATGATGCTAATAATAACTACAACAGCATTATACCACCACCTCACATTTATTTCTCACTTTGAACACCTACTTCACTGAGTTCCCAGTTGTCCTAGGAAGTAGGTTCTGTCACGGTTATGTTGAGGCACCAGAATGCAGTGACTGCGAGCTCAGCCATACTGCCTGAATTTGAATCCACCGCCTCCTGGTTGAATGCTCTTCTACGAGTGCAAACCACACAGGACCAGTGTGAGGATTTAATGAGACCGCAAACGCCAAGCCCCGCATACCACCTAGCATACTGGAAACTCTCAGGATCATCCGCTCTCACACATGTAAGAAACTGCCAGTCTTTCTTAGGCTAACACTGTAATCTCAAGACTTTCCTCAATTAGGGATCACAAGAGAAGTTTTAAATGAAGATCAGTTCAAAGATGAGTTCATCCTGATATACAACTTAACACACTGCTTGTTTCCAAAGTGTAAAACATTGGTATATATCACTTTGAATATCTTAAATTATAGTCTTAAAACCAAGCATAATTGTATTTTTAAAACAACATTTGAATCAAATGATTTGAAGGATGCCCAAATTACCTCCCAGGAACTTTAGAGTTCTTCAGAACCTAGTCTAGTGTGACAATCTGTTAGGACTGTCATCCTTCTGGACTCTGAGCTTCTATCTGACCTCCGTGTTCTGCCCCATACTTCTCTCACCAGCCTGCATCTTGACCATGCTTGCCCCCAATTCCTCCTTCCCGCAGCTGAGCCACTTTTCTGAACGAGTTCTTTGTCTAAACTGCTTGGCACCGACCTCTGTGCCTCTTACCTGTGCTTCAGCCGAAGCTTAACCCCTCCTGACCATGCTGCTTTCCTGTGCTGGGAGTCAGAGGTGAGGTGCTCTGGGCTGAAGGAGTTAGAGGCACCAGTATCTGCATGGCCGGGATCTGCACTCGCATCTCTGTCAAAAATAGGAAAAGAAGAAGCTGAGCACAATGGTGTTCTTGGGCAGGAGCACAAATGAATTTAACAACAACAAAGTGCATGAAAATGAACCCTAGAGCCAGAGCAAAGCAGCACAGCTAAGTGCAGAGTTCTAAACCTGCACCTAGCAAAGTTCTCTGCCCTAAAGCAGGCAAAGCCACTACCAAGGATCTTCCTTTCCTGTCTATGTTTCTATGAAGCAATAAAGTATATTTCCCAATCTTAGAAAAACACAGATTTTCTAGGTAAAGGGAAAGAAAAATACATTAACTGCTGTGAAGATAAACTACCCTATAATTCAGCACTGGTAAATTGTGAAAAATGGAATCACTGAACTGTCAAACAAGGTGGTTTCCTGAAACCACATTGCTCTGCTTCCCTTGTCAATTTCACTGGAAGTACCACACAACCCTTGCTGTATTCAGTGGGTGGTCGCTCAGAAGCACATGACAGCCCTTGAACTTGAACTATTTCAGATTGTTTAGATTCCACTGTGCTGGGAGGCAAGGCTTTTGTGTGTCCATTTAAATCCACCCTTCCACCCCCAGTCCCTAACACCATTCCTATAATCTTTTCCTCCTCACTCCCAGGGAGTCAGAGAAAAATTTTAAGCCCCACATCGCCAAATGTGTTCCACCATGGGAACAGGCACATTTCTGGAGGCGCCTCTTTAGGAGAGTCTCAGGTTCGGAATTTCCAAACACCCTGACTGCACTCTTTATGCCTCCTCTTTATCAGACTGTCCCCTGCAACAGGCTTTGACAAGGGTTTTGTCATCACCCCAGTTTGCTGGGTACCCGTGGTGTGTTTTCAATTTCCATCTTCAAGAATCTTTCTAAGCCTCTGAAATCTGACTGGCGGGCCTATAACCAGGAATCTGGAGAAGGCACACATGGGGCTGATTCTCCTCTACACAGGCCTTGGCTAAAAGGGGATGAGATTACCGAACAGCTGTTAGCAATAAGCCCTGTCCATCTGGCCTTCTATTTCCTGGAACATAGAATGGAAGTGAAAGAGCTGGCTTTCTTAAATCCTAAGGCAAATAAAAGGATTTATTTTTATTTTAGGGGGTGGGGAAGATGACCAGGAGGTCAACAGGGAATTTTTCTTTCTAAGCTCAAGTTTTCATCTTTACCTTAGTTATATCTAAGCACCACCACTTCCTTCTGTATATTACTTTTCTCACTAAATTTAGGATTCCTGGTTTTGAAGATATCCAGTATAATTCTAGACTTGACGTCTGAAGACTTGGTTGGGGTCATGTCACTGATTAACTGAATGGCACTGCACAAGAAACTCTGAGCCTAAGGCTCCTCTTCTGTGGTAAAGTGATGACAAGAAATAGTGGACACAATGGTTAGGGGCCTGGCCTTGGAGTTTGAGTCCTGACCCCACCCACTGACCGGCTCTGTGATTTTGTCCTCTCTGTGACTCAGTTCTCTCATCTGTGAAATGGGTACAAAGGAATAACCTCTTTCATAGGGTTGCTGAGAAGCTTAAATAAAATAATTCACATAAAACATTTAGAGCCTGGCACATACTAAGCACTCAGTAAATCAGCCATTATTCTATCTGTCTTGCAGAGTTGCTATTAAGTTTGTAGAAATGTACATAAACTGTCTAGCATACTGCCTACACATGTGTATTAGTCCATTTCTGTTGCTTTTAACAAAATACTTGGAACTGGGTACTTTGCAAGAAAATGAAATTTACTGCTTACAGTTTGAGGCTAGGAAGTCCAGGGAACATATCTGGTGAGGGTCTTGGTGGTGATGACAGTGACACAGGATATCACATTGTGAAATGGTGGAACAGAAAGAGCAGAGAGCAAGAGACAGTTTCTCCTCTCTCTTCTTTTAAAGCCCTCAGAACCACACCCCTGACCACCATTTCTCATACATTCACTACTGCGTGGTCCTACAATCCAATCACCTCTTCAAAGCCCCACCTTTCAATTACCATAATAGGATTTCCCACCCTCTTAACAGTCATCGTGGAGGCCAAGTTTCTAATACCTAAAACTTGGGGGACACAATTCAAGCTTCAGTGAGTTTTGGGGGGACATAATTCAGTACACTACAACATATGTGCTTAATAAACTATTTTCATTATTGTCTTAACTGTAGTATCTTCATTTTAGAGCTCCTTTCAGCTAAGATGTTATGTAAAATAGCTGCAACGAAAAAGACCTAATTTATACCGGGAAGAATCCAAAGAATGGCCTTAGACAGAGAGGTAACGTGTCAAAGCGTTTTGCAGAATTCATCATGTCCTCAGCTAGGATTTCTCACACGACCCTCAGAGGCTCCATTCCCAATGGCTATCTGGCTTAAACTGAGGTGGAAATGACAGTCGAAGGCATCTCGCCGTCTAATACCTGAATGAAAAGATTACGTAAGTGTAAGCAGCACACTCCAACACCACCCATTGGTACAATCCATTCTGACAGCAAGGGGAGTGAATCTGCCTTTCCAGGTCTCTTCTAGACCCTAATGTTGTCTGTTGGGGGAAGACATTCAAGACCAGCCCTGAGCTTTCATAAAACCTTTGCGGCATTTAATAACTTCCTCGTTTTTTGCCTAAACCACAATCATTGGCTCCGTCCTTTCTGCACAATGGCTTAGGCTCCAGAGGCTGAGTGTTTTTCTCTTTCCTTTCCCTCTCCCCTTTCCTGGGAAACAGCTAGAGAGAAAGGTCTAGGGATGCAGGCTGTCACAGTGAAGAGCTGGCCGGAAGAGCAGGCAAACAAAAAGAGATAGAAACATGAGGAACAGGGGATAGTCTCATTTTTTAAAGGATTTTTCAATGCATAATTCTAGTCAGCCCTAAGAAAGCAGAGATCAGCCCTCCAGCACTGCCCTCAAAACCATGTTGTCCTGCCACTTGTCACCTCCAGAAGACCAGCTGAGGTCAGCAACTGGGGGTGAGAATTTGTGAAACCCATTTTGACTGTTGTTGATTGCAATCCCAGGGTTAAGTCACAGCACAGCTTCCCTGCTAATCTTCACCTGCTCCTGGGCTGGCTCCAGAAGCCAGTCAGAGGCCCTGGCACTTGAGTGGGTTGTCTGGAAGCACCACACAAACTAGAAGTCAGGTTGGATGGAGTGCCAGAAAAATTGTCAGCACCCAGAGCACAGCTTTCCTGCCTTAAACTCTTTCTGGAATAATCTGGGCAACAAATAAATATTTTTTTTTTCCTTTTTGTCTTTTTTACTGACCGGTAACGGGATCGCAACCCTCGGTGTCGTGCCTGTACCGGGGACCGGCAACGGGATCTCAACCCTCGGTGTTGCGCCCGCACCGCGCTCAGCCAGTGAGCGGGAACCGGTCCTCCACATGGGATCTGAACCCTTGGCGGGAGCGCCACCACACTCCCAAGCGGCGCACTCTCCAGTGCGCCACCAGGCCAGCCCATAAAAGAAAATATTGATAAAATGACTACATCGAAGAAGAACTTCTGCTTATCAAAACGTAGCCTTCAAAGAATGGGAACAGAAACCCAGACTGGGAGAAGATATTTGCAACCCACAGACGACAAAGAGCCTGTGGGTTGAAGGTGTCATCCCAGTAAATAAGTCTAAGTCCTGATCAGCCATGAATGTGACCTTGTGTGGCAATAGGGTGAGCAAATGTATTCAGGTTAGGATGAGGTCATAGATTAGGGTGGGCCCTAATCCAACGAGTGGTATCTTTATGAAAGGACGGAAATACTTTTTTTTTTTTTTTTTTTGCCGGCCCATAAATATTTTAAAATTCATATGTTCTAATAAAAAGAAATCCTGTAGTGAATCTAGGTGGAAAATAGTCCTGAATGAGTGCTGGAAGATCTATTGTTCCAGGCCCGTGCCCTGGAATCGTAACTTTGCCCTTCTCTCCCCATGCCTTTTCTGTACATTGAACATTTTATCTGTACATTGAACTCATGCTGTTTCCAGAACTCACATTTTCCCTCGCACCTCAGGTTACTGTGCTAACTCCTCACAATGGATTGGAGTCAACAGTCTGCAACATACTTTGACCTCATCATGGATTGGTGCCCCCTTGGTGCCCACATGCCTTGGGCAGATTATCCCAAGTCTTTCTTACAAAAAGATAACTCCATATTCTAGGAGTTATTCCCATAACTACTTTATGGAGGAGAGAAGTAATGAGGTTTTTTTACCTCCATTTTCCAGATGAACAAACTGAGATACACAGAGGTTGTGTATCTTGCTCAAACCACACACGAGTCATACTTGCTTGGGACTAAAATGACAGACAACTACTTACTCTTCCTCCTTTCAGTTTATCAGTCTCAAAAATTTCCAGTTTATGCCACAAACTCTGTAGGCCTTAGAATTACTAACCCAGATTTAATGGAAAATAAGGATGGGGCCATTAAACATATCACCAAATGAGCTTATTTTTACTTAAAAGATACTTAAAGCTACATAGTTTCACTTAAAGATACCCAAAGATACAATGTAGAAGCCTTGGAATCAATGAAACAGCTTCAAGTGAAAAATGATGGAATAAACCACATGGCTACAGCCCTACTGGGCAACTTCCAGATCCCTAAAGGCACCATCCCCTCCTAGCTTAGCCACACTTATCCTTCAGGTTTCAGTGTGGACATCGTTTCCCCTGGGTAGCACTTCCCAACAGGGTGAGGTGGCCCGCTGCATGCTAGCAGAGCAGCGCACTGGCTATAGATATGCGTATCAAAGTGCAATTCAGTCTTCTCATTGCCTGCTTGCTGGTCCCTCTCTTCCCTACTCAACAAAGATAAGCTGGCCCAGCTCGGTGCTAGACACAGAGTTGCTCAATAAATACTTGCTGAATAAATGAAGTACTGAAAATGTTCAACACATCTGGACCCTTTCTTCCCTCCTATCTCCTTTTAACTCACAAGTTAACTTGTTGGCAAAACAAATGAGACATTTCTTGGGGCTGCTTTACGTTGTTGTTTCTTGCTGTTCTCCGATGTCAATATCACAA